GTAATTCAAGACTCACCGATTTGCTGGCTGCACAAACAACACAGATCCCACGCCCACGGATTTCGATTTACGAATTCGCTTTCGATTGCGGAGTGGATTTCCACCAATTGCTGTCTAATTAGAGGGCTAGTTAATCCGCCACACGAATCTTGCACAGGGATGTAGCTCTTGGTTTTCTATATTTCTTTTTTCAATTGCCACTTTCGAAATATATAAATTCTCTTTCCAAACGCGCTTTAACGGCAGCACGCGCTGTTGCACAAGAGTGGCGAAAAGAGCGATGCCAAATTAGTTGCAACAGGTGGAAAAACTGGGAGCGCACCGCGATCCGAACCGAATCGGATTGTATATCCAGCGAATTGAGTCCCGAGTTTGAAAACTGACTTTTGAAGTCGAGACGAGGCAATGCGATGCGATGCGATGCGATGCGAGCGTTACGCGTTCCAGAACCGCGCTGCCAGGCAGACGAAAACAGACTCAGCTCGAGCGCGGCTCGCAAAAACCACAACACCTGACGGCGGCGGCTCAGTCGGTGGATCAGCGCAGTTCGGCGGCTCAGTGGTGCGCTTGGCGGCTCAGCGGCTCGGCGGTTCAGCAGCTCAGCGGTTTGGTGGCTCAGCGGCTGGCAGCGACGGTAGCGTCGACTGCGACGGCGACCGCAGCGTTTTGTGGGCGGTAAGCCGAACTCAAAAAAATCAAGTCAAATTGAGTGGCGCAGTTTGGACTGGCGATTGAAGTGTACATATGCACACACCAACTTACTGCACCTGCGGTGTTATGATCCAATTTTATGGAGTCTCGTAAATTCGGCGCGCTTGAGATAGACTACGACTAAATTCCTGGCTTGCCACTCTTTTTCTATTAAATGAAGCACTTTGAAGGTTTTGAGGCATCTTTATTAATCTATTAACAAAACGTGCTGGGTATGCGTTTAAAGATTGCGCCATTATCTTTTGTAATTTCCTTATTCAGTTGTGTTTCAAAATAAGGCATTCGCATGCCCAATTTATACTAGTACTAAAATTTCCTGAGGGGATGACTAATGCTCAACATATTAGCAAAGATTTCCAGATAAACCGCAAATATTACTCATACGCAGCGTGTTTAAAATAGATATCGATTGAAATTGATGCAAATGATGCACTTAAATTTTTTGCATTAATGCATGTTCTTCATCTCTCATAAAAGTTTTTAGAGTCGCTCTCAATTAAGTTTCGTAAAGTTTAATAAAAATTCCTTTGTTAATGATGATAGCATATGATTATCTGGCTGACCCCAAGTTGTGGCTGGAAAATAAAGTGATTTCTAGCTGAGATCTCTGAAACCTTGCCGCTTAATTAGAGACATGGACCCCGTCTTTATAGTTTGATCTCTGGCAGGGCTTAACCCACACGGACCTCCGGCTGAGCTGACTCATCCTCCAGTGCAGTGCACATCCGCTCCATCGCCATCCCAGTCCGAATCCCAATCGAAATCCCAGCCCAATTGGTATTCCTGCTCCGTTCGCCCGGAGACGTCGTTCGACGTAGTTCGCTCATAAATTTTGCATTTGCTGTGTGATTTTCCTTTTTAGACGCGACAAGATTTCACTGATTTCGCATATATCCCAGCATTTATAATATATTCGCCTGGGCATTCTAAGCCGAGTTCAGTACTGTTCAGCTGTTCTCTTGGTAATCGCAGTGTCACCATCAATCACGTAGTTCCCAGCATGTTTTGTCGCCGATCCCATCTGTATCTGTATCTTGACGCAGTATCTTCTCACACCAGAGCCAAGCGAAGTCTATAAACTCAAATATCCCTGGCAAAAATGCTGTACGAAAACGAAACAAAAGGCCCATTAATGACAAATGCGAAATAACGAAATTAAAATAATAATACCCTAATAATAATATTCGCGATCCAGACACAGCATATTAATGGTGCCCCCATCAAAAGCCACTCAAGTGCACACTTTTCAGGTATGATCCGATCTTGTTCAGCTCTGTTCAAACACTTGACAATGACATGATTCGCTTTTGATGTATAATTACTTCACTTTGGAGGCACAATGGCCTGCAGATTGCTTGATGCCTTTATTTATGTTGTGTAATTGCTTTGAATACCTTTTTACTTATGCAGATTTCGGGGCTCCATTATATAAAGGGTTTGCACTGAGCAAATAGGGCAACCTTTACCCAGACAACTGAGTGTAACCTTTTTGAATCAATACCTTGGATATCGGATTTCTCCCCGAATGTCGCACCTGGTTTTAGTAATTATGTTAAAAATTAGTTTTAATTCAAAATATATATGCACGCTTATCATAATTCTTGTCTGGCATAATCAGTACTTAACGTTCAAATTATCCACCTGCTTATTTTTTGTCAAGGGCATTGAAATACTTTCAAGCCAAATCAAAATATTTCTAGAGCTGATATTCTATGATTATGGTTTTTATAAACTATTCAGTTCTATTGCGATTTTTAAGTTCCATTGCCGGATCGTCAAATTGCCGGATTGCTTGCATTGCCGGTCGCAATCGTATGTCCAAAATGATGTGGATTAACCAAAATGTCGAGCTGAAAAGGCAACTGCAATAAAGGCAACCGGATTTTAAGAACCCAATAAAATAGAGCACTAAAAAACTAAAGTTGACCTTGGCGCTCTTGAGCGACAAAAATCCGGGCCGAAATCGCAGATCCATTTAAATGGTTGCACCCCCAAAACTGGCGGGCTCCATCATCGCGATAATAGCCAACGCAAATTGCCAAGTCATACGGGCTTTTGCCTTTCGATATTCTAGCAAATCGACAAGCAAATAGCGACGGGCAAACACAATAACAGAAAAACAACGACCGAAAACAAATCAAACTCAAGCCCAGGAGCTGCAAATCCGAAAGGTAATTGCCAGGGCTAATTCGGCATACGGAGTGCGGAAAATTCGTCGCGTCACCGCATAATTATTTGAGGAGTCACCATGATGAGATGATGGCCAGTAGTGTCTGGTAATTTGCCGTTTCAGCCGTGATTTACTATTGACTCTGGTGTCGGACGGCTTGATTTATTTTATGACTGGACGCAGCGCAGCGTACGCCTCCAATATGTTCTTAAAACACAAAGAAACCTATGTTTCAAATACCCTTCTCAAGCTGGAAGAAGCTAAGGAATGATAAATATATATCTGGCCTAATGATCAAGTCTTCCCAGTATAGATCTTTGAATAAGTCACTAATCACTCTCTATTTGCCAAATTTATTTAGTGGGTAAGCAATTTAATCTAATTTAAGAACACTTATCGAGGGAATTCTTTGTGGCACAATGTTTAAGGCTTTTGCAAGCGATTTGGCCATTTAGTGCTAAAATAAAATACCCCATCGAGGGTATAAAAGTTTCTGTCACGCCAGAACGCAAAATACCAACACATTGGCTTTAAGACACACATGGACATGGCTGAACGGAACCCATTGAAATTCAGAGCGGGTTCAAAGACGCTCGGCCACGGCAACAAATCGTGCAAACAACAAGCCACCGAATTGCATGGAGCAACATCTTCATTCCAGGCCATTTTATTGGGAGCCATCTGGGGGGCAGGGGATCGGGGATCGGGGATTGGCTGGAGATGGGGGCGGTATAGAGACGCAGTCACCAAAGCGATTCAACGAAATGCATTCTAGTGCCTTATTGATTGCGTTTCGTGTGCCACGCCAGAGTGCAAAAACTATGAAAATCTATTAATTCCACTCGGGGATAGGCAAATGCATCTCAAGTGGCTTGGACAGGGGAATCCGGTGATGGAGGAGATGAAGGTGATGGGGGTGATGGGGATGATGGGGGATCTAGCGGATACGGAATACGGAGGGGCAGCGGTCCAGTGGCTGACGTCGACACGGACATGGCTTTTGGGCCGTTGACAGGTGTTGACTGCGCTGCGAGTCAGGCCATTAATGAAAACAGGTACGAGTTGTAAACAATGGACGAGTTTTCCGACTACCAGATACCCGGTGGCCAGTCGTTTATTTCGTCGAAAGTAGCCTAGTTTCGAATGGAAATTAGATACAGTGCACTCCTTGACGCTTTACTTGAACTTTAATTGAAATGGAAATCAGAGAATAACTGACGTCAATTCGTTTGCGCAGCCGAAAGCTGTTAACTTTAAAATATTATACGATTTATTTGGAATTTTTATTAAATAATAATGTATTTTTCATATCTAATTGAAATTCACAGAGGCTTAAAATAAAATCAGTCAGTGGTTCCTGTTCACAACAATAAACTATATATCATTCATATATAGGGCTATATATCATAGGGTATATACCCATGAATTCTATATATTAGTATATTCGAATTTTTCGAAGCTTGGCGTGCACTTGACTTCCGACTTTGACTCCAAAGTTAGTTGTCAGGCAATTGTATGTTTACCGAATCTAATAATGTTTACTTTTATCAATTAATAAATAAATAAGGTGAGAAAAACACGCGAGCAATTAGCCAAGGAACCATATATATATCCACATTTCTTAAGTGCCAAGTGCGGGTCCGGTTCTTGAATGTCAATGTTTAAATGGCTTTAAATGGCCAACAGTTAAAGCCAAGATAGCTTACTGTAACCAAATTAAAGAGGCTTTTGAATAGTATAATAGAATAAGTGCCCTTTGTTACAAAGGTCGGTTGTAAATACCCAGCCAAGGCCATTATTATAACTGGCTTAATAATTTGTTTACAAAAAGAAGGGTTTACAGGGTATTAGCCATGATTAACTGTATTACTACTTTAAGAACTTATTGGAAGCGCAGTGAACCTAGAAATGTTTATAAATTCAATATTACGAACAAACGTGGCAAAATGCTTAAATTTGGGGTAGTTAATAAAGGGGCCGAAATTGATTGATTACCCGCTAATCCATCGACTTCGGAATAATTATCTTATAATTATTTGCACAGACACGAGTTACTAATTTGTGGAAAGAGCTACAAATGAAATAATTTCATCGAATTTTTAACACATTTTCCTAAGCCATGAAAAGAGTGCTGATTATTTGGATCACAGCCCACTCACTTCAGCATTATCAATGTGTAATTGTAGTTCTTTTCCATGAGAAGTGCCTAATAAAGTGTTATATTTTTCAGAGTGCAGTCATTTTCAAAATGACTAATGTAGTGTGTGAGTCCTATAACAAATCCTGGGTGGAATTCGGACTGTGCCGTCAGTAGGAATAAGGTTTGCCTGAATGTCGATGCCAATTTGCATTATCCGGTTCACGATGTTATAGTCAAAGCCAGATTGCTGAAACGGGCCAATGGTTACAAGCCTTGTCAGTTTCGATGGCTGCCAGTTTATAAGGCGGAGAAACAATGCCCTGTTATATAACATAAACTAGGGCCTGCAGCAAGATAAGAACTTCTATCTGAGATCCGAGAAGCTGCCTACTCCAATCCCCACTGGGGAGTATCTGTTGATCATTGACTGGGTGTTCAACAAGAAACTGCAGGCTGCCGCCACAAATGTTAATTTTACCTTTGTGGAGGATCTAAAAAATAGTTAACAAATCAATCGTGCAGAGCAGAAAATCTAAACTGAACCTACAAAAATAGGTAGACAATAAAATATTGTTTCTGATGAAGTGCACGATTAAGGAATTTGGCCAAATATCTTTTGGGTGGTCATATACCATTTGAACGAGAACGAGTTTCTATGTGATTCGTGGAATACAAATGCGCCTATTAAGTCATTGTTTCTGAGACCACCAAGAGCACTTCCAGCAGCCACCGCAATATCGTAATCGTAATTTAAAACAAACAATACAAAAATAATTACCAATTAAGCCTATTTTAAATTCACATTCCGTATTGCACAGCACAAAAACAGCCTTGTCCAGTGGTATCCAGAAAACAGAATTGAATAAGCATTTAAAATGGTGAGGGATGTGCAATACTTAAAGTTTATTCGTCGCATTGGAGTTTTAGCATCGTTCGTTACATTCGGAAATTATTAATGATTAGATTAAAAAAAAGGGGTACATTTTCTTTTACACTTCTGGTAAAGGTTATAATAATAATATAATAGCTGATAATGGCGCAGATAGAAAATAAGATCATTGTTAGCTGAATTTATCACATAGTTTTACATATTCAGCATGAATTTTGCTAATTATGATATTGCTAATTTATCATAATTAGCAAAATTCAGTTCCCTCTAAGATTCAAGTTTTGTATATAAAAAAGATACTGGGATAATACCCTTTAAGGTTTAGCCAACAACTCAAAAGTTACATATGGTTTATGGTTTTGATGCTGACGGAATTTCAAAACTTTTTTGCTGCTGAGGCTCACGACCTCACAGAGTTTCTGACCAATCTCCATGACTGCCTCGTTGTCATCGTAACTATTTGTCCAGACGGAGACTTTGTTGACCTTCTTGCGAATCCTGACAAAAGCCCCACAGATCTGATCGCTGTTATCGCAGGCCTCGCCAATCAGGCAAAGAAGCACGTCCAACCAAATGATGTCCAGTTCGGTTGTGTCTTTTTTATACACGATGTATGTCCAACGACCGCCGTGCTTGTTTGGCAGATCCTCCCACATTGGGCGAATGCCCTTCTTGAAGAGCATGTAATCACATCCGGCTTGGAGCTTGGATGGCGACTCGGTGCTGTAATACAGGTTCCAGAAGTCCTCGACTGTGTTGAAGCTACCAATCTCGCTTAGATTGTCCTCCCACGATATTTCGGAACCGCTCGTCACGCCCCACAGCGTCCATGTGTTCTGAAGCTTGCGTTTCTTTGCCGCACCTTGCAAACTATCATCATTCAGTGGAATCCCCTCTTTTGATTCTAAAAATTCATTGGCTTGCTTTGAATTTGCCATTTCGCAAATTTCGCAAAGTTCGCTAAAACTCTGTGTTAGGGGTCTAACTTTTAAATTGCAGAATTCGGAAATTCTCAGAATCAGTATTCGCGGAATTTCCCAGCCAAGTACTTACAATGGTTATTGGTGCAGTGTGGCCAAGCTTCGAGCTCTACATTAATAAGCTCTTAAGTAAAGTAATATCAATTACGAAATAATCGAGATAGCGATTGCTTGCACTTACATGTAAGATACATTTGACAGGCAATCGAAACATATCGATACATCGGGTGATGCCATCGTGCATGGTTGGCCCAGCTCTAGTATTGATTGTTAAACAAAAAGGAATTTTGCACTAACTTCTGGGCCGCAGTTACTGCAAATTCGCGCCAGGATGGACATGATAAACAAATTCTACTCCTCCGCCGTGCAAACGGTGTCCACACTGTCCGGCGTTCTGCCCGGAAACAATGTGACGCGGGAGTACGAGGTGCTGGAACAGGTGTGCACAGCCGGAGTGGGTGAGTTTACCTATATTTGGTGTTAAGCATATTGTGTCTGATATCGAGTAATCCCACTGCCAGGTCTTATGTGGAAGGTGTACAATGGCCACAAGAAGAGCACCAAACAGGAGGTGTCCGTCTTCGTGTTTGAGAAAAAGTCACTGGAGCGCTGGTCGAAGGATGACAGGGAGAACATGCTGGAAACACTACGTCGCGGCGTTCAACAGCTAACCAAGATTCGGCATCCTCACGTGCTAACCGTACAGCATCCGCTGGAGGAGAGTCGGGACTCCCTTGCCTTCGCCACGGAGCCGGTTTTTGCCTCCCTGGCCAACGTTGTCGGCGACAACGTCCGCTCAGAAAAGAAACTCTATGATGTAGAGATTCGACACGGTCTACTGCAGCTCTTCGATGGCCTGCAGTTCCTTCACCAAGACGCCAAGATTGTGCACCGCAACATTAGCGCCGAGACAATCGTAATCAACAAGAACCGTAGCTGGAAGCTGTTCGGGTTTGATTTCTGCATTACCAACCAGCCGGCCACCGATGGCACGCCCCACTGGCCCTTTCGGGAGTACACAACGTCGCTGCACGTCCTAGCACAGCCCAGTTTGGAGTACACAGCACCGGAGCTGGCCCTGAACAGTGTCAACACACCAGACAGTGATCTGTTCTCACTGGGTAAGTACCTAGTTATATGATTTAAATGAATGAATTTTGGCATGAGTCATAAACCAGCCAAGTATTTGATTTTACTGAACGCATAAAAATAAGTTTTTGGGTGATTACTTAAATAAGTCAACTGATAAGGAATCTTATAAATAACTACTTATCGTTTAGTAGTTTAGTAGTTTAGTAGCAGAAACAACGTTTCTTTTATTTTAGTAACTAGATATAGAAACATATTTATTGATTCTTCCCTTTCTGCAGGCGTACTAATCTTCACCATCTATGCCGGCAAGCCACTAAAAATGTTTGGCAGTGACTACAGCAGCTTTCGACGCTACGCAAATGATCTGAACCAGCGAAAGTATCCACCCATGAACGCAGTGCCCAGTGAGCTGACTGAAAGCCTTAAAGCTCTGCTACATCCCAGTGCCCACCTGCGGCCGAAGCTGCATGAGCTTAAGCAGATCGCTTACTTTCAAGATGTCGGTGTTAAAACACTTAGCTACTTGGACTCACTATACCAGTGGGACAACCTGCAGAAGTCCAAGTTTTATAAAGGTCTGCCGCAGATCATTCCGACGCTCCCGCACCGCGTCAATTTGCATTCGATTCTTCCCTATCTCGTCAAAGAGTTCGTCAACTCGCCTATGATACCGTTTGTGCTGCCCAACGTTCTGCTTATTGCTGAGATGAGCAGCCAACGAGAGTACTGCGACCACATCCTTCCGCACTTAAAGCCGATCTTTAAGCTTACGGATCCCATCCAGATTTTGCTGATCTTTATGCAGAAAATGGATCTGCTGCTCAAGCTAACGCCAGCGGAAGAGGTAAAGCAGAGTGTTCTGCCGCTACTTTATCGCTCTCTGGAATGCGACATGCCTCAGATCCAGGACCTCTGTCTGGCGGTGCTCCCCACGTTCTCCACTCTGATCGACTACAACGCAATGAAGAACTCCGTGCTGCCACGCATCAAGAAACTGTGCTTGCAGAGCAGCAATGTGTCGGTAAAGGTTAACTGCCTCATTTCAATTGGCAAGCTGTTGGAAAACTTGGACAAGTGGCTTGTGCTAGACGAGATTTTGCCATTCTTGCAGCAGATCCAAAGCCGCGAACCCGCTATCATTATGGGAATTATTGGTAAACTTTGCAATTAACACCAATTTACGTTTTACAACTCCTGTATTTTAGGCATTTATAAAATCGCAATGACTAACACCAAACTGGGCATAACGAAAGACGTGATGGCACACAAATGCATCCCTTATCTGGTACCCTTAAGTGTGGAGAACGGCCTTACCATAGCTCAATTCAACACCATTATAGCCCTCATCAAGGAGATGATGGGGCGGGTGGAACAGGAGCAGCGGGAAAAACTGCAGCAGCTGTCCACCATACAAAGAGACAATAAGTAAGTTCGATTTTTGTTGTGCAGCAAATGCATTATATTTTAAATATCGCTTCATACAGACCCAAAGACGCTTCCGAAATATTGGCCAATGAGCTGGAGAACTCCACTCTCTCCCCCAACGGGTCCAGCAATGGTAACAAGATCAACGATGACATGTTCTCCGGATTCACTGTTGGCCAACCGAAAGCCCCCACCACCGCTGCTATAGCGCCGTCTAAAACTAGGGAACAGCTCAAGTAGGAATCACTCAAGATGGATACAACGAAAAGCAGCTGAATCTCAAGAAACCCCTCTGTAATTTCAGAATATCGCACAATACAATATCTGCTCCGCCTTCAGCCAGGCCAGACATCCTCTCCTCGATGATGCAAAGCAACCTCACTGGTCTGGGTACAACTGCAGTGGCAGCTGCTCCGCCATCTGCCGCCACACAAATGCCGTCAAACAATGGCTGGCACAGTGCAAATCCCCTTGTAATGAACCATCAGTTGGCCTCTCCCCAAGCCAGCAACAACAATTCCTTCTCGCTGGACGACCTGGATCCCTTCGCTAGTGGAAGACCCTCGGTTGGAGCCCCCAAAGCCAACAACACGAACGGTGCCAACATGTACACGGTGCAGCAGCCCACGGTTAACTACATTTACCCTACTGGCTACAGTCTGAACAGCATACAGCAGCATCAGCAGCAGCAACTGCTGGGAAAACCCAGTCAAGCACTCACGCTCCAACCGCAGACACAGCCGCTGCTGCCAACGGATAACCAGAACCTCAACGCACTTTCCCAGCAAGACATACTTAACTTTTTGAACTAGACACAGCCGTAGTTAATAACAATTGATAGATATCCATATTCCATACAACCGATATACAAGGCAACTATACTTAGCTGTTGGCGTCGATTTGTGAGCCGCAAAATTCTAAGAGTCAAAAGCAATCCGTTGTAGAAGCATATTTGCAGGGAAATATCATTCGCAGTGTTAGGTGGTATCTTCTTGATTACTTTTTTCTATTTGAATTTTTGTTGATACATTCGACGTCAATACATATGTATATTTATACATAAATCTTATCTGTGCAAGTGTGTGAGTGTCAGTCTAAATGTGTGCGTGTTTGTTAGAAATGTTTTAAATTATATTATGTAGATTTAAACGCAAGACTTTTGAGCTCTTGCTCGTTGCCACATTCCGCAATCGATATCAAATGTGAAACGAAACGACCGCATGTAGTTAAATATAATAGTACATTAGCTAGACAAAAAGCCAACTAACTATGGTCTGTGCAATTGCTCCGGACCTATATTTTACAAAGTTTATTTAATTAAATTCCACACATTAGTTCTTAATGTAATTCTATGCAATTTGAATTACTAAGAGACGAAATTGTACAGACAAATATAGTTTATATATATTTTATTTTAAAACCACGTATTTCTTAGTTTATTCAACATATAGTTTTGTTCCTTGTGTTTTAATTTTATTAATAAATTACAAAATGTTAATGTGATTTGTTAATTTCATGGTGCAATAAACTAACTAAAAACAAAAGTTTTACAGGTTCTTAAAATAAAGTTGCATTTAAATAATAACAATGAATTGTAATGTTGAACCGCGCATTGAATCCATTATAATTACTTAACTAATCCTTATAATCTGCTTTTACAGACTTCGCCACATCGTCAGGCAATTTGACTTTGGCAATATAGTGATTAAAAGGCGATCCCAAATATAGGTACCCCTTAACTTCCAGCACGTGGGATATGCCTGAGGCTGATCTGTCAAAGCCATGCAAGGATCTCACAACATTTCCATTCCAATCCACACGCACCACAGTGCTGCGCCTGGGAGCGTTCCGGATGATCATATCGTTAAAGGAGTGGAAAAGACGAGCTGCCATGTCATTGGGATATATATGGTTCAAAATTCGAAGGGGAAGCCGCATTAGAGCCATCAGACGGGCCAAGAAAGATCTCAACCGCGGATAGGGCGCCAAGACGGCAAACAAATTTGGATGCTCACTATCTGAAGCCACGGACAGAGGCACCCAGATTCCGTCCTCATCGGCAGTGAGATTATCCGGCCAGCCAGGCAAACCCTCCACAAAAACATCGCTTTGACCGGCTCGTGATCCTTTGAGATAATATTTCCTCAACCGCATGGCCGTTGTTTCGGCAAGGATAATGAAATCCTCACTGGGACTTAAGGCCAAGCCGTTGGCAAAGGACAACTCGTCGAGCAGTACCTCGTTTGTCTTCTTTATGCGATCGTACCTGAAAAGTCTAAGAAAAGCCAATAAACACTTTTTATATGGTTATTCTGTTTCTTAGTTCGAACTCACCGACCCGATGGGTTTGCGAACGCAGCCAACAGAAAATCATCTGAAACGGAATCCGTCCAGAATATGTCACCCTTCCGAGTAACTGCCAGTGAATTGAACAGCTTAGCCCGACGGTTCGCACCCTTTCCAGGAAGGATTTGCTCAGCAGGTACCAACACAGTCTTCTTCCTCGTTTCCAAGTCGACTTGCCATATGCCGTAATATGCATCAGATACAATGAGATTGTTTCCCTGAGTGTCCCGGGCTAGGCCCACTGGATAGCCACACAGCTCATCATCAAATATATAATCTAGGGTAAATATATAATCAATGGCATTATGGATACAAGTTTCCACTGCTCCTTTGTTACCACAAGGTTGGCCTATCTTAGTGATCGGTTGAACGGACTCATTATTTAGTTGAATAATCTCTCCGCTGTGAATTCCCGTGTATATCTTGTCCCCGAGAACTATGAGGCACTCTGGTCCAAATATTTGGTCTTTCCACAACTGGCGGGCGCCATTTAAGTGGTTGTTCAGCTCCAGCGTTCCATTCAGGTATCTAGCTGGCTTTATGCTGGGAAACGCACATAGATCGTATGGGTTGATGATAACAACTGAAGAAAACCAACTTACTAGTACTCTTTGAAGGGGAAAGTGGTCTTGGGAGGTAATCCCGGTAGCAGGAACAAGGTCCCCAGCAATATAACCAAAAACAGGCTAGTTTTCAGTAACGCGCCAAGGAAACCCATGGTTAACTACACGGGGAATTGTTATTGAATGCGGTAACAAAGTTCAATTGTCAAGATAATGGCATAACGTTTGATTTCGAATGGGGCGATACATTAATCCAGGGCAACTCTAATCTTTTGTGTACCCTAAAAGTTAAAGCTTAAATTTAATTAACAAACATTTGATCCCATTTAATACATCTTTTATTGGCAGAGGCAGAGCGTGCTTAACATGGCGATATCCGCTTAAACTGAGTCTTCTGCATTGTACTTCAATTACAGCTTCGAATCCTCTCTTCCTGTCCAGCTTCTTAGCCTAAGAGACTGAGATATCACGATCGATTCGGAACGCATTGTCTAAGGCGGCAACTAATCGGTTGCGAAGCGAAGTGCAGCCAATTGTAAAACACTTCGACATACCGACTACAAAAACGTATGGCCTACAAGCTAAACATAACAAATACTGGCACTCAGGTCTCCACCAGGATGTGTGTGAACAGACTGTGCATTCGTCGCTCCACTTCCGTGTACACCAGTGAGTTGAGTCCATCCGAGTGCTGGCGCAGAGTGGCCGACCTCAGGAGCGCCACCCGATTCGCATTCGGTCGTTCCGGTTTGTGCTTCAGCATGGTGTACTCACTGAACTCCATTGCGAATCGGCAAATGTCAATGTTCAGGGCCTGTAGGCGCTCGTAGAGGTCATCATCCTCTCCGCCCCAGCCGTGATACAGATTAGACATGCCGTTGATCTGCTGGTACTGGACGGTGTTAATGGCCACTACGCCGCCGAAGAGGCCGCGGTAGGGCAGCCTGAATCGCCAGTGATCCAGGGCAGAGCACATGTGTCGTGGACGCTCGGAGCAGGCATATATTTGACCCGAGTTCAGCGGCAGAAGGTCCACGTCGTGAAGGATCAGGCAGGGAAATCCATACTCCGCAGCCACCTGGGCGCCAATGTTAAAAAGCATTGCCCTGTTGAAGGGCTTATGATCGAACTGTTCGACCAGGAAAATCCGATAGTGGATCAGCTGCGGCGGCAGGTAATTGTGCATGTAGGTGAGAAATGCGTGCAGCTGCTCCTCCCGCTGCCTGTACGGCACAATAATGGCGGTGCTGTAGCGAGCCTGACATCCTTCGGGACGGAATTCGCCGCCAGGACGAATCTCCGCGCCCCGCTGCACCGCTCCGTGGTAGTGGGCCAGATGGTAGACGAACCTGTTCTCGGCTATGATCTCCGAGTAGGTGCATTCGAACGCCTCCTGCAGGGAGACATTTCTGGTAACCTGCGGCACCAGAGCCTCCTCGATCTTCGATTCCTCTATGTAGTCGTAGTGCGATGCGAACCGGAAGGGCAGACACAGGTACACGATGAGCGTGATCAGGCCGATGGCGATGAGAAGATCATATATGTGGAAGCTGCGGACCCAAAGCCGCACGAACATCGTTGGCAGGAACTGTTGACTCAGTGCAATCTTTGGGAACTCCGCATCCTAGTTTCGGACGCAATCTTCGCGGGCGTTTGGCGAATAACAGCTGACGACTAGGGGTGCAGTTCAGTAACCAACAGAGCTACAGTGGAACCTTACTAGCTCGAATTATATTCATTGCTTGAATTATATTCATTGCTTCCATCTAACTATCATTATAGGTTTACTATTCAACCTTTTTATTTGGATTTTGTATTAAAAAATGTTTTCTAACATATTATATACATTTTTATACTTTCTCTAATTTGTATAATAAAAATTGTATTAAATTTGTTGCATTACAATCTGTTCATAAGATTTTGTACTCTAATAAGGGAATTCACGTTTCTTTGAAACGGCATGACTCCACCCTGATTAATTGAACAATAATTTGATAAAGAGTTGTGTTTACTTTTGCCAGTTTCTTGGTACTTCTTCTGATAAGCACAGTTATAAACATTGACTCATTGAAGGGGAAGCAATTGAACTAAAGAAGGTTGTAGCCTTTTATATGTGTGTATGTATGAGAGCCATAAATAATGTTTTTAATTCATAACATAATTAAAACAATTTTTAATTCATTATATTGGGGTGCACTATTCGATGAACTGGTACTGACTGTATAAACATATCAACAACAGTCTGGCAACGCCGTGACAGCTATGCATCCCTGGACCGGCGGAGAACTCCGTGTTTTCTTTTAGAACTTTAACAAATGCACTGGCGGTTTGATTGGCAAAAATGACGTCCATTATCAAGCTGCACACTATATCTGGGGCGATGGACGAGTCCCCGCCATGCTATATCCTCCAGATAGACGATGTGCGAATCTTACTCGACTGCGGATGGGACGAAAAGTTCGATGCCAACTTCATCAAGGAACTGAAAAGGTAACAACTGGATACACATTGCAGGGAAACAATGATATAAATATATTGTCTACTCCCAGGCAGGTGCACACATTGGACGCCGTGCTGCTGTCCCATCCGGATGCATATCATCTTGGCGCCCTGCCATACTTGGTGGGCAAGCTGGGGCTCAATTGCCCCATCTACGCCACCATTCCTGTGTTCAAAATGGGCCAAATGTTTATGTATGACCTTTACATGTCGCACTTTAACATGGGCGACTTCGATCTCTTTTCGCTGGACGACGTGGACACCGCTTTCGAAAAGATCACCCAGTTGAAATACAACCAAACGGTTTCACTGAAGGGTAAGGGATATGGAATATCCATTACGCCTTTAAACGCAGGGCACATGATCGGCGGCACCATCTGGAAGATCGTCAAGGTGGGCGAGGAAGATATTGTGTACGCAACCGACTTCAATCACAAGAAGGAGCGCCACTTGAGCGGCTGCGAGCTGGACAGGCTTCAAAGACCTTCTCTGCTCATTACCGACGCCTACAACGCCCAGTACCAGCAGGCCAGAAGGAGGGCTCGCGATGAAAAGCTCATGACCAACATCCTGCAGACGGTGCGTAACAACGGCAATGTACTAATAGCCGTGGACACGGCAGGACGAGTGCTGGAGTTGGCACACATGCTGGACCAGCTGTGGAAGAACAAGGAATCGGGTCTGATGGCCTACTCGCTGGCCCTTCTTAACAATGTGAGCTATAACGTGATTGAGTTCGCCAAGTCGCAGATCGAATGGATGAGTGATAAACTCACGAAGGCTTTCGAAGGTGCCCGCAACAATCCCTTCCAGTTCAAGCACATTCAGCTGTGCCACTCGCTGGCGGACGTCTATAAATTGCCCGCTGGTCCAAAAGTGGTGTTGGCCAGTACTCCAGATCTGGAGAGCGGATTCACGAGGGACCTCTTCGTGCAATGGGCCAGCAATGCCAACAATAGCATAATCCTCACTACGCGCACGTCGCCCGGCACTTTAGCCATGGAACTGGTGGAGAACTGCGCACCGGGCAAGCAAATCGAATTGGACGTCAGGCGAAGAGTTGAACTAGAAGGAGCTGAGCTGGAGGAATACCTTCGCACACAGGGCGAGAAACTTAATCCCCTCATCGTAAAGCCCGATGTAGAGGATGAGAGCAGTTCCGAGTCCGAGGACGACATTGAGATGAGCGTCATCACGGGCAAGCATGATATTGTGGTCAGACCGGAGGGTCGCCATCACTCCGGTTTTTTTAAGTCCAACAAACGACACCACGTGATGTTCCCCTATCACGAGGAGAAGGTGAAGTGCGATGAGTATGGGGAGATCATTAATCTGGACGACTACCGCATTGCGGATGCGACGGGCTATGACTTTGTACCCATGGAGGAGCAAAACAAGGAGAATGTAAAGAAGGAAGAACCGGGCATGGGAGCAGATCAACAGGCTAACGGAGGAATTGGCGACAATGATGTTCAGTTGCTGGAGAAGCCCACTAAGCTGATAAACCAACGCAAAACAATCGAAGTTAATGCCCAAGTCCAGAGGATCGATTTCGAAGGTCGCTCTGATGGCGAGTCCATGCTGAAAATTCTCTCTCAGTTGAGACCACGAAGGGTTATTGTTATACACGGTACTGCCGAAGGCACACAAGTGGTGGCCAGACACTGCGAGCAGAATGTCGGTGCTCGCGTTTTTACGCCCCAGAAGGGCGAAATCATTGATGTCACCACTGAGATCCACATCTACCAAGTACGCCTGACGGAAGGTCTTGTCTCCCAGCTACAGTTCCAAAAGGGCAAGGACGCGGAGGTGGCGTGGGTGGATGGTCGCCTGGGCATGCGTGTCAAGGCCATCGAAGCACCCATGGACGTTACTGTGGAGCAGGACGCGTCCGTGCAGGAAGGCAAGACATTGACTCTGGAAACATTGGATGACGATGAGATCCCTATTCATAACTCAGTGCTCATTAACGAGCTGAAACTGTCCGACTTTAAGCAGATTCTCATGCGCAATAACATCAATTCGGAGTTCTCCGGCGGCGTACTCTGGTGCAGCAACGGAACTCTGGCATTGAGGCGAGTCGATGCCGGTAAAGTGGCCATGGAGGGATGCTTATCCGAGGAGTACTACAAGATCAGGGAGTTGCTGTACGAGCAGTATGCGATCGTTTAATATTAAAGATGACGTTTGTCTAAACTCCTCATTTTTTACTTATTAAGATCCAAAAGAATTTTAATATAAGAATATTAATTGTACTTTATTGCCTACATAAATTGCAGCATGGGATCTTCTGCCCTTGGCCGCTTCTTCTTCCACTCCTCGATCTCGTCCTCTGTGGGTGCCTTAACATCATACATGCTGTTGTAGGCTCGTTTGCGATCATCCAGTTCCTCGGGAATATCTTTATCCTTTGTCTTCTCCTTGTCCTTGGTCTCCTTGTTCTTGGATTTTTGCTTTCGCTGCTCCTTGGCCTTCTTTTTCTTCTCGCGCTTCTTTGACTTCTTTTTGGACTTCTTCTCTGGTTTTACCTCCTCCTCTTCCGATGAGGAGGATTCTGAACTCGGTGCTGAGTCAACTTCGGAGGCGAGCCTTTCTGGTGGCACTTCTGGTACCTTAAATTGTGTTTGATCTGCGGATTCTGATGTAGCTGATGTAGCTGCTGCAGTGGAGCTAGTGTGATGCTGTTCCGAGTAGCCCTCTGGTTCCTGCATGCCCACGCAGTAGGAGTTCTTGATGAAGGACTTGCAGCACTTGTAACCCCAGCGACCGGCGTTCCAGAAACTTCCCCAAACCGTTGTGTGGTTGTTGATGTACACATCCTCCTCGTAGATACTGCGCGCCTTCGGCTTCTCCACACCCTTTATCACCTTGCCGCTGCGAGAGTACTCGATGTACTCCTCGGTCTGCGCCAGCAGCAGCGACTTCGGCGGAACCTGCAGATGTTCTTCGCCTCCGTATTTCTCCACAATGTGCGTTTTGGTCTGGAAAAGGAAAAAAATGGCTATAAAAATTGTTTCAAAGAAATGCCAGCCCTACAAATTACTTACACTTGACTTGAACTGCTCCTTCTTCTGTTCGTACTCTTTCTGAAGCAGCTCCAACTTAGTTGGCTCGGCTAGCAGATGCACATCAACTCCTTTGCCATGTGCTTCCCAGGCAAACAACTGGGCGGTGGCTTGGGCGGTAGTGTCTCCAGAAAAGCGCACAAAGTTCTCGCCAGCAAACTCAGCTCTGCAAGAGTGAAATAGTTAGGGTATTTATTTATTTGTACACGTTTTTGCTACGTACTCCTCTTCCGGAACAGCAGGATTGGGATTGTCACGCATGGAGCGTGTTTTGGGATCGTAGTAGGCGGAGTTGGGGTCCAAGTTCCTCAGGTACTTCGCCGTATCCTCGCGAATACGCAAGTTACGCACTGTAATTCGCTGTTTTGAGTCCACCTTGGTGCCGGGCATGTCCACTTCGTCCACATATTTGTCCTCGTTGCCCTCCTCATCGGATATTTCAGCATCGGGATCTAAGGATATAAGAATATATTGTTGAAACTAAAAACATTCTGAACACACTTTTACGTACCATTTTTGAGCTTCTCTGCCTTGAGTTGTCGCTTGGCCTCCTCCACCTTTTCGTACTCCTCAATGATCTCTCTGTGATTGGCTGGATCGTAACTGCTCCAGCGATCTCGTTTCTCGTCATAGTTCACCGCCGCCTCATTGACCAAATGCTCATCGTGCACGACGATGGATTCAGCATACTTGGCTTGGACTTTCCGCGGCCGCTCCAGGCAGTCCTTGCGTTTGTGTGTGACGGCGCCGCAGTTCTCGCAGGCTCCCTTACGGAACTTGGTGATGATGCGTGTGGTGTTGAGTCCCTTGGGAGCCCTCTTGTCCAGCTGTCCTTGCTCGTCCTCGTGCTGGGGCCGCTGATGCTTGAGAGTAGGCCCCGCCGATCCGTAATACCATGGTGCATTTGATATGTACTGCGGGATATGTGGATTTATGTCGCGACCCTCCTCGTCGACGGCGGCTGGAGCTGTTCCCGCTTTTCGAGCCTCCTCCAGCTCCTTGGCCTTACGCCAGTCCTCGCGGGACTTCTTCTTGGGCTCCTCCTCGGCATCTTGGTCGTGCTTGCTCAGGATGATCTGCGAGACGGGTGTGCGTATGGGCCCCGAGCTCATATTGCCTGATTTTATTTACTAGATAATATTAGTTGTAATATTTATTTCCCTTTATTGGTATCGGTTATCGAAGAGTGTTGGTCAGCGGGGAAGCTGCCTTAACAACGAAAGTGTTGGACAAACTATGGCACCCCCACGATATGTATCGCTCACCTTGGCACATCCCTAACGTTTTTCCAATAAGAATTGGCGTGAAGTGGACATTTTTATCAATATTAATAGGCGAAACCGTTTTAAGGCCAATAAGAAAACTACCCAGCAATGCAACGGAAAATGCTGGACACTGTGATTTTGTGAAACTATTCGAATTCGTCGGAAAACCAAGGAAATTACCTGGGAAAACCAATCAATTTAAAACGCTGTGCAAACAGGGTGCGTGTTACTGTGTGCGTGCGTGTGTGTATAAGCGCATACATATGTCGAGCGTGTGTGTGTGTGCTCTAGTGTGAAGGCATCCTTAATTTTTTCGCACACATAGCTGAACACTTTTTCTCTAATATACAAGTTCCTGCGCGCGCAGATAAATTATAAGATTTTTTTTTGGTCCTTGTTAATTGCAATATTTTTTGCCTATTTGTTTTCGTGCATACTTATATCGCATAAACATAGTAAAGAAGTGTTTCAATAACTTTTCATTTCAATCGTCAAACAGTTTCTATATACCAATAAAAAAGAGAGCAAGAAAGTAAGAGAGTGGTATATATAAAAACCATCGATGGGACTTTTGAAATATTTATCCATTTATCTTGTGCTTAATTGTGAATCGTAATATGTCAGCAAAATGTGTATAACATACATACTCAAACGAAGTGCCAACATAAAACAGAAAATATATAATTTTTGATCTACGAACATTGTGCGCATTTCGTCTGTTTACCAACACTGCGTTAGTTAGTGTCAAGCTGACAGGTGGACAGTACGGCAACTCTGCCAGCTGGAAGACCTTCGTTTTCACCAATTAGAAAATTACAAATTTTCCAATTGGAGAGGTTAGCCAAACGTTTAGTTAATTGAGCGCACTTATTGGCGTTTCGTCAGGTGTTTCCAATTGAAGTGGGCGTGAGTCACGCGTGTATTGGTGGGTGGCAGAGGTGCGAGCGAAAGGCAGCATTAGAAATTCTTGTTGTTTTCTCTTTGTTGTTTAATCTGTGGAAAAAAGCTGACTGCGCGTGTATATGTGTGTGAAAGTGTGTGTATATGTGCCATACATGCACACAAAAGAATTTGCATAAAAAAGTGAGCAAGCAAAGGCATTATATGTAATCAAAGCTAAACGACACTGAAAGTACTCAAGATTGTGTGCGAAGAAAAGGGGCAACTATGTGTGTACTTGTTCCCACCAAATTGCCAATTAGAAAACGCTTTGTATCCCAATTGGATGCGCATTAGATTAGTGGATAGATTAGCGTACACTGAACAACAATCTGTGGAATTGCGAAATAAACAAAGTTGCACTCCTTGGAATGATTTATACGCTAGAAATATTACCATAGCAGATGATGGTCGCGCACTATTTTCGATTTTTGTTTCACGGACTGTTGTCGTTTGAGCGATTGCCTAATGTACACACACAAACGGGCAGAAACACAGTGGTGGCCAAAATAGTAGTGGTAAACAAAAAAATTTCATAAATCAAAGATGAAAGGAATTCAAATAAGCTCATTATGTAAATTACAGTTTTTTTATTTTGGGTCCTACGGTATAAGAGTATGCAAAAATGATCACAAATTTCATTCTGTGAATCATAAATACTCCCAATTTTACCCGAATAAGTCAGCCACATTTTGAATCATCATTGCAAAAATAGTAATGTAATTATCTGAGAGACTTGGAAATGAATGCACATCACAATTTTTGAAATTAGATTTTTTATTATTAAAAAGTCTCTACTATTATGACCGCTGCTGTGGGAGTAGAAATGTGTGCGCACAAATTCCATCGATGCGAGGCTTAATCGACCTTGGGAGTGAATCGAGTATACCGCATACGCCATTCATGAGTGTCAATGACCTACACCAACATTGGCCCACAGAGAGAGATGCGAGTGGCAGTCGGGCGATTCATTAACCCATCTGGAATTGCTCTTCATCCGATTGCAGATCAGGATCACCAGCCAGCCGCACACCACCACAAGCCGAGTGGTCCACCGCTGCTCCCCACACAGACACGCAAGGACATCGCACGGAGGACCGAGGAGCAGCCGGATCAGGATTAGGATCAGGAGCAGGAACAGGATTAGGAATAGGAATAGGACAGGACAGTCACCGATCCCACGACAATGTTCACGGGCAAGCTGCAGATCAAGGTGTGCGAGGCGAGCGGCCTGCGGCCCACAGATTTCCAGAAGCGCCACAACCTCACCTTCGGCAAACTGGCCGACGAGCAGCTCATCGATCCCTATGTCTCCATAGATGTCGACGAGAGTCACTTCGGTGAGTATCCTACTTCATATTTAAGCGTCCATTTTAATGTCCCTTAAAGAAGTCGTGGAGAAACTAAAGGCAGTTCGTTAGTTACAAAAGTTAGTTAGCTAGAAAAGGTGTTGCATACTTAAAAGGGTAATTAAAGCTTAAAGCAGCTAGGTTCGACTTACCATTATGTATTATTTATTTATGTGGTTATTTTGTTACCTTCAGATCGAGCCACCACACGGCCAAAGACATTCGATCCTGTTTGGAACGAGCAGTTCGTCCACGACGTGACCAACGTGAGCAACATCAACTTGACCGTCTTTCATGATGCCGCTCTGCCGCCGGATGACTTTGTGGCCAACTGCAACATCTCCTTCGAGGACCTCATGCAGAGCGAGACGGCTGTGCAGGATCTATGGGTGGGTTTTGAGTATATACTAGCTACATCTCTAGATGTCCCCGTACTTATACCTCTTGAAATCGCACAGGTTAACTTGGAGCCGCAGGGCAAGATTCACGTCATCATTGAGCTGAAGAATCGCACGGGTACGTAGAAATACGAACATCTGAAAGAACTACGGCGGATGCTGATCAATTCCGTCCCGTTTCAGATAAAGCCAAAGCCGAGGCCGTGGTGGAGCACACCGTGGCCGTCAACAAGGAGTTCAAAGAGCGCGCCGGATTCAACCGCCGTCGCGGTGCCATGCGTCGTCGGGTCCATCAGGTGGGTAGCCACCTAACCAGTTGAATGATCATAACTAATGGGTTCCGTTTCCTTCGAACCAGGTGAATGGGCACAAGTTCATGGCAACGTTTTTGCGTCAACCCACCTTCTGTTCGCATTGCCGGGAGTTTATCTGGTAAGTGGAGCCGAGCACACATGATCGTACAACTCTCGTAACGAACTCACCGAAGGGCTGAAACATCTCCGTACATCCTAAGTTGTATACGCAGTGATTAATCTGAACATGCATTTAGTTTTGGGACCTGATTTACACACACCTTTCACCATCCGACCTACTTTTGATTTGTTTCGATTCGGTTCGAATCGGTTCGATTCCATTCGATTCGATTCTACTTGGGTTGATCTATTACCTCTATGTTCTTAATGTACCACTACTCCTCATCACTCATCATCGCTCTACTTGGGCTCACATCTTTGCTCCTTTGGGTGGCTCACTCTTATGCGGTTTTAGTTTCCTTGGTTCTCTACATCCATTGGCATTAACCTGGTTTCTCCGGTGGGCTATTAAGCTGCTTGGCTGGCTGCTGGGGTCATCTGGGGCTCACGATCTCATCATGCTTGATTTCTTGCGGCGACACTCATCCATTGAAAGTAACACACTCGCACACACACTCACACACACACCCCAGAGAAACAACACAAATCATTCAGTTACCAAAATATATATACATACAATAGCCATGGAATTTCTTGCCTTTTTGCAGGGGAATTGGTAAACAAGGCTATCAATGTCAAGGTATGTGTTTTGCTTCAGACTAAACGGAATTAAAAACCAGAGCAGCTCAGCTCTGGCGCTTCGGAGCTCCAGGATGAGCCCCCGACAAGCTATATCCAATCCATATCACTTTGCATTTGCTTGTTACGTTCGTTGTTCGTTGTACGCTGTTCGTTGTTCGTTATTCGTTGTTCGTTGTTTGCTGTTGTCGCTGTTGATGTGGTTGCCATTGGGTTTCCTTGGCTGCATTTTGAGATCAGTTATACGTACTATTTTATCATACTCCGAAACTATTGTCCAGCCTTCGGCATTGTCCAATGCATCCATCACTTGCTTGAGTCGGAACAGGTCCTGTCCCCACTGCACCATATGTCGAATCGATCTGGATGGTCCCGTCCTCGTTTCCACCACATTGCATTTTAAATTCACGTTTGCCGGGGAATGCAGTACTAATCTGATTCAAATCCGATCGGAGTCACAGAATATTCTTCATAGGTTTAGTCTACATTATTTTAGAATTTATATATAAATTCATTACATATACATTTAAGTTTGTCCGTCCGCCCATTTGTTGGATACCTCATCTCAATTCTAGATGATCATGCATGCTATAGATAATCCCAGTCCCTGGGTCCTGTACTCTTAAGCCAGCATTTTATTTTAAGAGATTAAGACTAGGCAGTTATCAGTTATTTGGAAACCAATGTCACTAAACATTAAAACGCGAATTCTTTAGAGTTGGAATCATTGGTTTAATATACCATCTGTTTAAATCTATTTCATGCACGATAAATTATCTCTTTGGTTTGCAGAGATCTTTGGGATCAGATAAAGTATACTCATCGGGATCGAATGAGAAGAGAAATACTACATAGGATTTCGTTTTATTTATTTCAATTCATTGTCATGAAAAAACAGACTGCTTTTATGGCTGCCTTCGTCATACTCACTCTTCCAAGTAGTTTTGGTTTCAATATCTCTGGCACGAAGCATCTAAATGTTGTGATTAAACCGAAACACTAATTAGAGCACAGACACAGACCAAGCACAACTTAACTCCACTGACCAACATGTGAATAATAATCACACTGCACAGCAAGAAACAGTCGACGGTTTACCAACTAATTCTGTCCACTCGATCGTGGTATTCGAGCAGGATACTCAGCCTAAATCGAATGCCACGATGGCGGACTTTGTGTCTAACCCTGAATGTTTCAACGAGCTTAATTCAAACGAAATCCTGTAAATATACACATTCGTATGTCTAGAGTTTAGGCTCAGGAGAAAATCGCCCTGAAGAACTAGTTAACAGTTTCAATATTATGAAGAAACTTTACATTAACAAATTCATTAGATGGGCTTTCTATCTTTTAATAGAAAAGATAGAAAGTTCGTAGTGTAACATGGCGATCTTCTTCCCGAGCTCATAGATATCATTGAGTTTTGGATTCTTTGGCCTGCACTCTGCCGAATCTGCATCGAAGAATCCTCGAAGCGCCAAGTGCCCAGACTGGATACTAATGATTACGCCTTTGGTTTCTCTTCCCCGAAAACTCTAGTCTGCACGTTAGTTGTACATAAAAAATGTCACCTGTCGGTGGTGTCCAAGTGTCCGGGCATGCGGGATGAGGTAAGAGCTAATGGGATATCCCAGCCAGATCTCGTTGATCTAATCGCCAGCCTTTCCAGCAGCAAGCCAAAGTGGAGGTGGTGCCGGCGGGCCAGAGGTTCAATGTGAATATGCCGCACCGCTTTGTGGTGCACAGCTACAAGCGGTTCACCTTCTGCGACCACTGCGGATCCCTGCTGTACGGCCTGATCAAGCAGGGATTGCAGTGCGAGACCTGCGGAATGAACGTGCACAAGCGGTGCCAGAAGAACGTGGCCAACACGTGCGGCATCAACACGAAGCAGATGGCCGAGATCCTCAGCTCGCTGGGCATCTCGCCGGACAAGCAGCAGCCGCGCCGCTCCAAGTACTTGAACCAGCAGGGCGAGGACAACTACGGGGCATCCCTGGGCAGCGATGGCGACGGTGCTCCGGGGCAGTCCTTTCGCAGTTGCGCCTTGTCGGCGGACAGCCTGGCCACCTCGACGACGACGCTGACCAGCGGGTATAATAGCAGCAGCTGCATGAGCCTGGCGGTGGGCGGACCTGGAGGCAGCGGGGCCACTGGAGAAACGCGTCCGGGCAAGTGCTCCTTGATGGATTTCAACTTCATCAAGGTGCTGGGCAAGGGCTCGTTCGGCAAGGTGATGCTCGCCGAGAAGAAGGGCACCGACGAGATCTACGCCATCAAGGTGCTCAAGAAGGACGCGATCATCCAGGACGACGATGTCGACTGCACCATGACAGAGAAGCGCATCCTGGCGCTGGCCGCCAACCATCCCTTCCTGACTGCGTTACATTCCTGTTTCCAGACCCCGGACCGCCTGTTCTTCGTGATGGAGTACGTGAACGGCGGCGATCTGATGTTCCAGATACAGAAGGCGCGTCGGTTCGAGGCCTCGCGTGCCGCCTTCTATGCGGCGGAGGTGACTCTGGCCCTGCAGTTTCTCCACACCCACGGCGTCATCTACCGCGACCTGAAGCTGGACAACATCCTGCTCGACCAGGAGGGCCACTGCAAGCTGGCCGATTTCGGTATGTGCAAGGAGGGCATCATGAACGGCATGCTGACCACCACCTTCTGCGGCACCCCCGACTACATTGCCCCGGAGATCCTCAAGGAGCAGGAGTACGGCGCCTCCGTCGACTGGTGGGCGCTGGGCGTCCTCATGTACGAGATGATGGCTGGCCAGCCGCCGTTCGAGGCCGACAACGAGGACGAGCTCTTCGACTCCATCATGCACGACGACGTCCTCTATCCGGTTTGGCTGTCCCGCGAGGCCGTCTCCATACTGAAGGGTGAGATTCAACTTTCTTACTCAGCATATATGCACATATGTACTTAGAAAGTACATTACTTACTAGCAGGCGGCTGACGTGTCGTATGAGTAATATTTGCTAGCGAAACTAACAGATACTAAAACATGTTTGCCTACGTACCCAGGTTTTCTCACCAAGAATCCGGAGCAGCGACTGGGTTGCACTGGCGACGAGAACGAGATACGCAAGCATCCATTTTTCGCCAAATTGGACTGGAAGGAGCTGGAGAAGCGCAACATAAAGCCACCATTCCGACCGAAAATGGTGAGCTAAATGCATTATATCCAGTAAAAACTTTACTGACATCTATTGTGTACACAGAAAAATCCACGCGATGCCAACAACTTCGATGCGGAGTTCACCAAGGAGGATCCCGTACTCACACCGATTGGAAACGAGGTGGTGCGCTGCATCAACCAGGACGAGTTCGCCGGCTTCTCGTTCGTGAATCCCAAGTTCGTAGCGGAGCACAAAGTCCACTAAGGCCCAACGATCGCAGTTCATGTTCACCTACCAGTTCGATGGATTGCGATGCGGTCTGGAGCCCCGATGAGACTGGGTATCCCGGTCGGCATGGGTGGCACCAAGCCCAGCCAGATTGCCATCGCGCCGAGCTGTCATCGAGCGAGTAGCGCATCCCCCAGCAAAAGCAGTCTAATATTTTCATTTCCCAATTTCCCGTAACTCCCCCCCGGCGCACTCGCCCCCATTGTTGTCTGTTTCCAGTCGTAGTCATGATGCTCGTCCTCGTTTCGTTTCGTTACCGGTCCTGTGTGTAGATCACTCATCCACATCCAACTACCAGTGCCAATTGTCGAAACTGCTAGCTTCAAATTGAATTAGGGGCGCTCCTGGCACCCAAAACCTTTTCCCGCTTCAAGCTCCACGCCTGTTGGAATTCATTTATGTTGTTTGCCAAGCTCCCAAGAACAGAAAACAACAAAAAAAAGCAAAAAACAAAACAAAAAGAAAGAAAAAGAAAAAGAAAAAAAGAAGGAGAAGGAGAGAAGGAAAGTAAGAGATACCCCCACCCATCTAGTCAATGCCCACTGGCTGAGTGCATTTTGTTATTAGTTATTTATTGATTGTTTGACGTGCCGAATCTCAAGTTTCGCACTCACAGACCGACAGCATCCAAGCAGAGCTCTATTTACGGGAGGCGAGGCACTTGCTCCAAGCGAATCTCAAGGGAATTTCTAACACAATAGCCGCAATGTGCCGTCTGTACCACATACACCACACAATACAAGCGACCACACGGGTCTAGTTTCATTTGTTTTATGTATTCGAAATCTTGCACAACTTCCTTCTCAAGTATTAAAGCGATATTATTTTAAAGTTACCTTATTGTTATACATAAATATTTATAAAATGAAAACAAAACAAAATGAAGCCAAAAAGCCCTAATACAAACGCATACAATTTACCAACAAAGAGAAAATGAAAGTAAAGCTAACTAATCATAGAGGTAAAGCTAAACCCACAAAGAGAATGTCTATAAAATTCATATTAATTTATGCTAAACAAATTATGAATACAAAACGTGTTTAGTCTGTAAGCAAAGAAGAAGGAGAACAAACAAATTATATATATAAAGTATATATATGAACCATATAAATTGTGAAACTAAAGCATATATAACACACACAAATGGCAAAGATTTAGCGTATGAGGAAAATCCGAACAAAATTATATGAAATTGTAAAATGTGGCATAGGAAGATAGGAGACAAACAATATGACTATTATGTGTTGATTTTAAAGCCAAAGACTCAAGCTAAGTTCTATTCGCAATTAACTGCATTCAAATCTAGCATAAATTTGATTGGTACCCCTTAAATGTTGTTACGATTATTATTTACTCCATAGAAAATTTCGAGCTGCGAAATTGTTTCTGTTTTTCGATTTCCGTCTACCAAAGCGAGAGGAATTACGTATGCTAAAATAAATCATTAATCATAAATCATTAATGATAACTACAAGATGGAATAGCAAAGGAAGGATAACAGATGATTTATTAACTTTAAGCAGCGTTGTTAACTAAAAATACAAATCGTAAGGCAAAGGCAAGCATAAACACACATTTGTATGTAATAATAACGCCCAGTGTCTAATAATATTTGTGAAATAGCAAGCCCAGCGTAAGCGCTAGTTACCCATTTACAATTTAAATGTTAACCCAAAGTATTTTCAAGAACGCATTTTACCAAAAACAAGCAAAAAACACGAGAAATAAAAACAAAATAAAACAACAAACAAAAACACAAGAAATTAAGGACGAAGTATAGGCGAAATGTTGAAAGCTATGGATAATTTTTTAAGCAATGCCCTCAGAGGCCGTTGCAAAGATAGAGGCGCGTATTCAATTAAAATTAAACAAAGAGTCTAAAAAACAAGCAAAACTCCAGCCAACAAGATGAACTCATATGAACATAGGTATAGATCCTCGATCGATATGGGGATCAGGATCAGGATCAAAATCAGGATCAGGATCGGGATCGGGAATAGGTCAATCGCTGCTGGTCAAACAGAGCATAGAAAAAAGGGTACATTTAATGGGAGAGAAACCGAAGAGGGATTAGAACAAATCGCGTGACCGTAACCTGACAAAAAACACAAAACTTATAGGAAAATGTGCAACCAAAAATGTTAGCTATAAGCTCTCACCAAATACGCAAAGCTGAACGCTCCCCGCGCCTCCCGTTGTCTCCACCTACTTGCTGCAAACAAAAGACCCCGAAACTTATAGTGAATATATATCATGGCTTGCCAAAAGGGGATCTTCAACTAAACTCCGAACTCCGAACTCTGAACTCTGAATGTACTCACACGATCAGCTTAGCTAACTTTTTCTAGAGCTGCGCAGCTCAAGCAAACACTGAAACTCACACCCACTTACATATGTGCAACTTTTTCATGTACCTTTCGCATCTTAGATACTTAAATGGATTATTAACGGAAGCCCCGAAAATTGTTAACGATCTAAGGCAGAACTACACACAAACTACTAAGAAAATATACTGAATTATTTATGGAACGGCGTACAAAACTAAAGCGCAACAAAATGGGAGAGAAAGGTTAGGAATCATTGCAAAGTAATAATCATAAACACAAAAGTATTCAGAAAACAACACACAAAACACACAAGGCACATATACAAAGCAGATGGAAAAACAAACTACAACTGAGAAAAACACGGCATAAATAAAGTTTAAGTTATGTTTAAACAAGAGATAAATAACTGTAACGGTAAAGTCGAAAGTCAACAGTTGATATGTTGTAAAAAAGCTATTAAATAAAAAGAAAAACACAAAAAAAGAAAAGATTACCAAGGCAGGCAAGTGAGCGTAATTGAATGTTAAAGAAGCTACTAAGTAAATGGTACGAGAAGATGTGTGCAAAGATAACCAAAGAAAGCAAATTGAAAACAAGAAAAATTGATTTATAACATTAAGTGAAAACTAATTAATAAATAAAGAGGTAACACCTATGAAAAATGTAACTGATTTGTTTAAATTTGAAAATTACAGCACTGTCACCTGCGAAACGGGAATGTTAAGATGAGCGGTTTGGCTTAACAGCAAATGCAACGTCACGGGAGTTCGATTGCAAACAACGTTATCGCAGCGTTACGCGCAGTACGCTCGAGAACTGAAAAAGGTTTAAAGTAATTTCATACTTTTACTTATGTTAAAGTACCTTTATAGTTTCAGCTAACATGAAGGCCTACAGCTTGCGGTTAACATATTCTGTTAACGAGAAAGTTATCGCTTTGGCCTGTTATCGGCTATAGCTAACAGTGCACATGTCGCAGCCGAAGAAGAAGAAGCACATCCAAAACAAATAAATATTTTGTGTTATTTCTTAATTTTAAAGGCAACAAATCAGAGCAAGACAAGATGCCCAAGGTCACTACGGAAAAAAAGAGCCGGATTCATAATGAGGTGCAAAAACAGGGTATGTCGGTACCAAATCCAATCAAAAAACCTACGTTAAGGCCGGCTTTTCTGAATTTGTAGGAATCGTTTTCAACAAGGACTTTGGCCAGCACATCCTAAAGAATCCCCTGGTGATAACCACCATGCTGGAGAAGGCCGCTCTGCGAGCCACAGATGTGGTGCTGGAAATCGGTCCTGGAACGGGAAACATGACCGTTCGGATGCTGGAGCGCGCCAAGAAGGTGATCGCATGTGAGATTGACACCCGATTGGCCGCCGAGTTGCAGAAGCGTGTGCAGGCCACTCCGCTGCAACCAAAGCTCCAGGTGCTGATCGGGGACTTTCTGAAGGCGGAGCTGCCCTTCTTCGATCTGTGCATCGCCAACGTGCCGTACCAGATCAGTTCGCCACTGATCTTTAAGTTGCTACTCCACCGACCACTCTTTCGGTGCGCCGTACTCATGTTCCAGCGTGAGTTTGCAGAGCGGTTGGTGGCCAAACCTGGTGACAAGCTCTACTGTCGCCTGAGCATCAACACCCAACTTCTGGCCCGGGTGGACATGCTCATGAAGGTGGGCAAGAACAACTTTAAGCCGCCACCGAAGGTAGAAAGTAGTGTGGTCCGGCTGGAACCGAAGAACCCACCGCCACCAGTCAACTTTACCGAATGGGACGGCCTCACCCGTATTGCCTTCCTGCGAAAGAACAAAACGCTGGCGGCTACCTTTAAAGTGACCTCCGTATTGGAGATGTTGGAGAAAAACTACAAACTATATCGCTCACTCAGGAATGAGGTAAGTCTGGGAAGAAGTGGGAACTATATGATTGATCACCGAGAGAATACAATTTGAATGCCCCCAGCCCGTTGAAGATGACTTTAAAATGCAGGACAAAGTCATTTCCATCTTGGAGGAACAGGACATGGCCGTAAAACGTGCGAGAAGCATGGACATCGACGACTTTATGCGGCTCCTGCTGGCGTTCAATTCAGCGGGCATTCACTTCAATTAGTTATTTTTATACCATATATCGTTAAACTTTGTACAATTTACCAACATTAATATAAATGTTAAGCCAACGAACTTTAGTTATCTCAGTATTTTTTAGCCAAACTGGTTTTCATCTAGTACAGTGGTTATCAACTAACAATCCCAGCAATTTGATATCAGTTACTTCCTGTTTTGAATGATAATCTGAACATTTTATAATATAAATTTAACTATGAATGAATTTTTTTTTTGGGAAAACCAATATAGTTGGCTGAGTTAGCTAGGAATCTCCACCGTGCTCCGTAATGTATATAGAATAGAACCAGCTGATCATTGTCTAAGCCCGGAGAGCGGCGTCTCCGAAGTAGATGCGCAATTAAAAAGTAGATGATTAACTTCGATCAGATCAGTTGCCGGCCGATCGAGTTCCACTGCAGTTCACTATGGCAATGCAATCGCTAGAATTGATATTACTGCTGGTGTTTTCAATCATCAGCAGCAACCTTGTTCACGGCCAAAATCCGGATCCAGCTGCCCAGCTTGGTAAGTAATGTAAGACATAATATAATCTTACTGAAATGAACATTCCCCTCAGCTTGCAACAAATTTAAGCAGATTGTCTTCGAGGAACGTGTGGCCATTAGCTTCTTTTTTACCGATGCCCCTATTACCTACGAGACAGTTGATTCCTGCCACGGATCCAGACCCCTGATAGTGGACGGCACACCGGCGGAGCCCAAGGAATTTCCATTTGCCGCTCGTCTCGGCCATCGGAAAGCTAACAATGAAACCAAATGGTTCTGTGGCGGCACCCTGATAAGCAATCGCCTAGTGCTCACAGCGGCTCACTGCTTTTATTCCGAACAGTAAGTGTGCACTTCTTGTTCTGAAATTTCCATGTCTCATAGTTAGTTACAATCCCTTTCGTTGAAAATTAAACCTAACATATTAATATATATTCCTCCAGCGGTGAGGTCAATGTTGTGCGCCTGGGTGAACTGGAGTTCGATACCACAAAGGATGATGCTGAGCCGGAGGACTTTGGCGTGCTCGCTCTGAAGGCACATCCGGGATTCGAGAACCCCAAACTCTACAATGACATTGCCATAGTTCAGCTGGATCGCGAGGTCAAGTTCAACAGATACAAGCATCCTGCCTGCTTGCCCTTCGACGACGGCGAGCAGCACGAGTCCTTCATCGCCATCGGCTGGGGCCAGAAGAAGTTTGCCCAGAAGGAGTCGAAGAAGCTGCTGAAGGTTCAGCTGCAGGGCTACAAGGACAGGTGTGTCAGCAGTGTGGATGCGAATGATGAGCTGCCCAATGGCTACGAACCCAAAAGCCAGCTGTGCATCGGGTCAAGGGACAACAAGGACACCTGTAACGGAGACTCTGGGGGTCCAGTGCTCGCCTATCACAAGGATCTCGCCTGCATGTACCACGTAATGGGCATCACCTCAGCCGGCATCAGTTGCTCCACGCCCGACATTCCAAGTCCCTACACGCGGGTCCACTACTTCCTCAACTGGATCAAGGGCGAGCTGGCCAAGCAGACGCAGTGAACACCTCGATTGATTCTATATGGACATAAGTTCTTACATTTAGGAACCCATCTGGGTTCTGAGAAAGCCAGAAATATACAAGTTATTAATTATATATTGCAAATCCACCAGCTGTAAACATTTGCATTTGGGTTTGCTGACAAACCGGTTTGGTGTTGGATTTGAACGAAAATTTTCCGGTTTTCATTTCCAAAGAACTTTTCACTTGCTTTCAAGTCGTGACAATGCATCAATTTTATTATGATTATGGTTTATATTATCTACCCAATATTTTTAAATATTTAAATCCCGGAACATATTGATTTCATGTTATTCGCCACCAAACCGGCTTTCATTTCTATTGATTTTCTGCTGCCGTAAGCCGAGAGCAAATATTATTGTATAATGTCTTATCAATAAAAACGAGGAATTTCCCGGTTTTTGTAAGCTCTCCTGCGGAGATTGCACTTTAGCGGGTCCAAAAGAGCGGCTTTTTGCTTATTAATAACTATTTTAGTTGCTTACTAAACGTAGAGCTACCCACACGATGAGCGCGATCTTCAGCCAGATTGTCCAGCTGGAAGCAGCATTGATGGTTCTATTCGTCGCTTGGGCGTCGTCCCAGGATGCGGATATAGCCAGGAGTAAGTGCATCGTTGTTCAAAAGGTCTGGAGTCTGGAATACATGTGTGTACTTTACAGTGTGCACTGCCTACAAGAAAAGCGTTTGGGAGGAGACGTCCGAGTTCAGCTTTCTGATCGAGAACGCTCCGATTATCTACAAGACCCTGGACAAATGCACCAACTATGCGCCGCTCATAATCGGAGGAGGACCCGCAATGCCCAAGGAGTTCCCGCATGCTGTGCGCCTGGGCCACAAGGAGGACAATGGCGAGGTGGACTGGTTCTGTGGCGGAACACTTATCAGCAACAGACATGTGCTCACTGCAGCGCATTGCCACTACTCACCACAGTACGTACTCTTCTTATCACTAGATTCCTATAATAACCCTATTACTAGTTTCCAAGCTTAAGTCGTGGTATAACTACGCCGGGTTTAATCAACACAAAACATTATTTAAATGCATTATGGAATATATACCAATTTATATATTTTCAGGGGTTCAGTGAACATCGCGCGCCTCGGAGACTTGGAGTTTGACACCAGCAACGACGATGCGGATCCGGAGGACTTCGTCGTGAAGGACTTTACCACGCACCCCGGGTACAGCTACCCGGCGATTTACAATGACATTTCCGTGGTGAGGTTGAGTCGACCCGTAACCTTCAACGAGTACAAGCATCCGGCCTGTCTGCCCTTCGACGATGGACGATCGGTCTCCTCCTTCATAGCCATCGGTTGGGGTCAACTGGAGATCGTTCCCAGGACGGAAAACAAGAAGCTACAGAAAGTCGAGCTCTACAATTATGGAACGCGCTGCAGGCTAACGGCGGAAAAGAACGAGGAACTGCCCGAGGGATACAATGCCACCACCCAACTGTGCATCGGATCCAACAAGCACAAGGACACCTGCAACGGCGATTCCGGCGGACCGGTGCTCATCTATCATAAGGACTACCGCTGCATGTACCACGTGATGGGTATCACATCCATTGGAGTGGCCTGCGACACCCCCGATATTCCGGCCATGTATACACGGGTTCACTTTTACCTGGACTGGATTAAGCAGCAGCTGGCCAAAAATTAGTATTAGTGGGTAAATTATCAAACTTTCGTACCAACACATTATCGAAAGCAGTTGCAAACAAAGAATAAAGCTGGATTCTTCTGAATATTCCTCTTGCAATAAATATGAAAATATCATAAGTCAACTTATCAACATGAACGCTTATTTTCCGCTTAATTGTCCTGAGAAGATTGTACTAAATAGGAAGCACAGAAATGCAAATGATTATGATTCTAGTTATTCACTTAACGCCGAGGCAACGACACGATGAAAAACTCGATCTCCGTTCTTCTGGGAGCAGCATGGCTCGTATTCTTAGCCAAAGTGGTGGTGGCACCGAAACCTCATTTATCAAAAAGTGGGTTCTTTATTATTCAAAAGAAAACCCTGTACAAATTTATTGCACTCCACAGCCTGTCTAATAGAAAAAGAAAGCTTTCATGCGGATACATTGGAGTATAGCTCGACCGATCTACCGATCTACCAAACCCTGGACAGATGTATGAGCAACACTCGTCGCATAATCGGCGGAGAAAGCAGTTTGGGCGGGGAGTTTCCCCATGCCGCTCGCCTGGGATATCGCAACTATCTTGGAGAAGTGGACTGGTTCTGTGGAGGAACTCTTATCAGCGACAGGCATGTGCTCACCGCCGCCCATTGCCACTTTTCTACACAGTATGTACCCGTGCCTGGTTATATTTATATTTGTCAAAAGAAATGTGGAACCTTTTCAGAGGTTCAGTTAACATCGTGCGCCTTGGAGACTTGGAGTTCGACACGGACATCGACGACGCGGATCCGGAGGACTTCACCGTCAGCGACTTCACAATTCATCCCGATTACTACTATCCGGAAATGTACAATGACATATCCGTGGTGAGGTTGAGTCGACCCGTAACCTTCAACGAGTACAAGCATCCGGCCTGTCTGCCCTTACACGATGGGCGATCGGTCTCCTCCTTCATAGCCATCGGTTGGGGTCAACTGGAGATCATTCCCAGGATGGAAAACAAGAAGCTACAGAAAGTCAAGCTCTACAACTATGGAACGCGCTGCAGGCTAACGGCGGAAAAGAACGAGGAACTGCCCGAGGGATACAATGCCACCACCCAACTGTGTATCGGATCCAATGAACACATGGACACCTGCAATGGGGACTCTGGTGGCCCGGTCGTTATATGTCGCGATGACCACCCTTGCATGTACCAAGTAATGGGTATCACATCCGTCGGAATTGGCTGCGACACACCCGATATTCCGGGCGTGTACACAAGGGTGCACTTTTACCTGGACTGGATTATGCAACAAATTGTCCAATAAAAAATCAACATCACCTTATCATCAATAATATAATTTGCAATTAAGATATCTCAAATTGTATTGAAATCATATTTTTCCAGTAAGATACAATACAAACAATATATAATGCTCGAGTTCCCCGACTATTAGATACCCGTTACTCAGCTAGTGCAAGTGAAAACGAAATTCGGGAAAACATAATAAGATGAAAAAAAAACATTTTTTAAAAGTGTGGGTGTGAAAGTTTTGTTCGGTTTGTGGGCGTTAGAGTGGGCGTGGCAACATTTCGAAGCAAACTATGTCTATGTCTCTGGAAGCTGCATGCTTATCTCAGCAGTCTAGCTTTTGTAGTTCCTGGGATCGAGGCGTTCATACAGAGACAGACGGACGGACAGCCGGACATGGCCAGTGCGACTCGGCCATTTCTTAATTTTTTTGAATTTCTACAACATCATCATCAGAAAAATACAAAAAAAATGAAAAAAAAGTATTTCTAAATTTTTAGAGAATTGCGCCAGAAACATTTAGAGGTATGCCACTTCAAAATCCGATTAAGATAAGTTGAGTTATGGAGTATAGAACTTCAGCCTTCGGCCATTTTTGAATTTCTACAATAATACATCAGAAAAATTACAAAAAAATCAAAGAAAAATAAATTTCTAAATTTGAATGCAGATTTTTAGAGAATTGCTTTACAAACATTTAGAGGTATGCCACTTCAAAATCCGATTAAGATAAGTTGTGTTATGGAGTCTTGAACTTCAGCCTTCGGCCATTTTTGAACTTTTTTGAATTTCTACAATAATACATCAGAAAAATTACAAAAAAATCAAAGAAAAATAAATTTCTAAATTTGAATGCAGATTTTTAGAGAATTGCTTTACAAACATTTAGAGGTATGCCACTTCAAAATCCGATTAAGATCAGTTGAGTTATGGAGTCTTGAACTTCAGCCTTCGGCCATTTTTGAACTTTTTTAAATTTCTACAACATAATACATCAGAAAAATTACAAAAAAATCAAAAAAAAATAAATTTCTAAATTTGAATGCAGATTTTTAGAGAATTGCGCCAGAAACATTTAGAGGTATGCCACTTCAAAATCCGATTAAGATCAGTGGAGTTATGGAGTCTTGAACTTCAGCCTTCGGCCATTTTTGAACTTTTTTGAATTTCATCAGAAAAATTACAAAAAATTAAAAAAAAAATTAATTTTTAAATTTAAATGCAGATTTTTAGAGAATTGCGCCAGAAACATTTAGAGGTATGCCACTTCAAAATCCGATTAAGATTAGTTGAGTTATAAAGCTTAGAACTTCAGCCTTGGGACATTTCTTAATTTTTTTGAATTTCTACAACATCATACATCAGAAAAATTACAAAAAAATGTAAAAAAATTAATTTCTAAATTTAAATGCAGATTTTTAGAGAATTGCGCCAGAAACATTTAGAGGTATGCCACTTCAAAATCCGATTAAGATTAGTTGAGTTATAAAGCTTAGAACTTCAGCCTTGGGACATTTCTTAATTTTTTTGAATTTCTACAACATCATACATCAGAAAAATTACAAAAAAATGTAAAAAAAATTAATTTCTAAATTTAAATGCAGATTTTTAGAGAATTGCGCCAGAAACATTTAGAGGTATGCCACTTTAAAATTCGATTAGGATTAGTTGAGTTATAGAGTTTAGAAATTCAGCCTTGGTACATTTTTTAATTTTTTTGAATTTCTACAACATCATACATCAGAAAAATTACAAAAAAAGATGGAATGCTAAAGTCGAGCTATCAGATACCCCTTACTCAGCTAGGGGATGTGCGAAATATCGGTAATTCATAATTTTCTGGAATATCGGTAAAAATTGCGAATAAATTAAGAAATTAAAAAAAAAAATTGTTCAAAAGTGTGGGCGTGATAGTTTTGTGCGGTTTGTGGTCGCAGCAACATTGGGATAATAAACAATAAACTTGCGCTGCGTCTATGTCTCTGAAAGCTGCATACTTAATGTCAACATTCTAGCTTTTGTAGATCCTGAGATCGAGGCGTTCATACAGACAAGACGGACGGCCAGTTCGACTCGGCTATTGATCGTGATCAAGAATATATATACTTTATATGTTCGGACACGCTTTCTTCTGCCTGTTACATACATTTAAACGAATCTAGTATTCCCTTTTACTCTACGAGTAACGGGTATAATAAAGTCATCCTATTTGCTTACCCACTTATAAGAAGTATAAACAAAACCGTTTTGTTGTGGAATAATAGCGGTAAGAGCGGGGATTTCATTAGCGTTTACCCGCTTTAGACTCGCCTCCAATGGGGATTCCGCAGCTAATCGATCGTTAACTAAATGGGAGCTAAACCCGTTCGGATCGCACAGTCGATCACCGATCGCCACCTGAAGATGAAGATGAGGAGACTGTTCTCCCAGCTGATCGTTGCGCTGGCATGTGTTTTTGGTCATCAGCTGGATATGGATATTGTCGGATGTAAGTGGACAAAGAAGTAGCCATCAATTTGCAAGTGGTCTTAAGGATCTTGTGTACCCTCAAGAGGAATTAATTTCCTATTATAGTCACCTGAAATTCCCAATTTGTCCAACTTCAGCTTGCACGAGATACAAAAAGAGCATTTTTGAGGAGAGAATCGAATTCGGATTCCTGTTCCCCGGGTCTCCGATTGAGAGTCGGATCTTAGACAACTGCAGGAGCTACACGCCGCTCATCGTCGGTGGTCATCCGGCCCAGCCCAGGGAATTTCCGCACATGGCACGCTTGGGGCGTCGCCAAGATCCGAGCAGCCGTTCCGACTGGTTTTGTGGTGGCGTTTTGATCAGCGAACGGTTCGTCTTAACCGCAGCTCACTGCTTGGAATCGGAAAAGTAAGTAGGGACTTTTTGCTGGCTCAAGCTTCGATTAACATTATACAATCAAAATCAAAATCAAAATCAATCAAAATCAAATACTCACTTTGATTTCACATATTCGATCAGGGGAGAGGTGAATGTTGTGCGATTGGGCGAACTCGATTTCGATTCGTTCGATGAGGATGCGGCGCCCAGAGACTATATGGTTGCTGGGTATATAACCCATCCGACCTACGAAGATCCGGAGTTCTATAATGATATTGGACTTGTCAAACTGATGGAGGCCGTGGTCTTTGACCTGTATAAGCATCCGGCCTGTCTGCCGTTTCAGGATGAACGCTCCTCCGACTCCTTCATAGCCGTGGGCTGGGGCAGCACTGGCCTGGCCCTGAAGCCATCCCCCCAGCTGCTGAAGGTGAAGTTGCAGCGCTACGGAAATGGGGTATGTAAAATGGCATAGGCCATTTAAAAGTTGTACATCTAAATCGAACTAAAATAAATATATAAATCACTTATACATACATAGGTGTGCAAGAAACTGCTTACACGGCAGCTGGAGGAGTTCCCTCGAGGATTTGATGCAAACAACCAACTCTGTGTGGGTTCCGAGATGGCCCAGGACACCTGTAACGGCGACTCGGGAGGTCCTTTGCTTCTGTACCATCGGGAATATCCCTGCATGTACGTAGTTGTGGGAATCACATCAGCCGGGTTGTCCTGCGGGTCACCAGGAATACCCGGAATCTACATACGCGTCTATCCTTATCTAGACTGGATAACCCGAACGTTGGCCACATTTTAAATTGTAGTATATGTGGATCTGATATGATATATCTGATATATGATAATATATAAAATTTTTACTAATTTCTAATAGTATGACAAAACCATGAGCAAAGTTAAACTTAATTACATGACAACTATAGTTATCTGACAAGCTATTCCGCAAACAATTAAAAAGCCCCTTAAACGACTATAATTATAATTACATGTATAATTATTAATAAAGATTGTTTATTTAAAATGTTGTTATCTAACAGTTCGATTAATTTAGAATATCTGTTCAGTGGAAGCGATTCATTCCTTCGGCATCGATAGACCGACCTATCGATGCTGTCATCGATAGTTGTTTACCTTTTTTTCCCAAAAAAAAGAAACATTTACAAAACAAAAGTCGTAGCTGGATTTGGATTGCAAATTACCAATGGCCAAAAGTCTGATTCCGCATGGCGCATAAGGTGTAAGCGGACATCCTGCGCAGGATTCCACATAACACTTTCCCCTTCCTGGCTGCGGCGCACTGTAATTTGCCCCCCATAATTGCCAATTGTGCCGGATCATGGAGAAGGATCTTGACGAGGAAAAACAGCAGGAGCAGCACATGGAGATGGAGCCCAAGCAGGAGATGGACGTGGCGCAGTCTTACATAACGCGGGCCAAAATGAATCCTGCCAAGAAAGATAACGAGAAGCGGCGACGCAAGGATGCCATGCGAAGGGTAATTAGTGCGCCTGTGTGTGTGTTTTTATACGCTTGCAGGTTCCCATTTAGATTGTTATTAAATTACAAAAATCCATTCCAAATAACAATCTTTGATTATCTTCAAGTGTCCAAACGGTGTTTCCTTTAATTTCTTTATTATGCGATAAGCTACGTTCTATATTTCATGCCTATGCTAATCTAAGAAAATGTTCCAGGTCTCGATGATATTGCGAAAATGCGACTCTCTCCGCTCGACCGAAGATCGACAGTTTTTGGAGAAACACCCGGACATGGTGAAGGCGACCAAGAAGCGCAAGGAGCGGGTGGAGATATACAAGGAGCGAGTGGTGGAACGTGAGGATGCGCCGCACCTGATCGAGGCGAAGGTGGAGCAGTTGGCCAACATCATTTCGCAGGCCAAGCATCTAGTTTGCTATACGGGAGCCGGTATCAGCACGGCAGCCCTGATTCCGGACTATCGCGGTAGCCAGGGAATATGGACACTGCTCCAAAAGGGTCAGGACATCGGCGAGCATGATCTGTCCAGCGCGAATCCCACCTACACACACATGGCACTCTATGAACTGCATCGCCGCAGATTGCTGCATCACGTGGTGTCCCAGAATTGCGATGGCCTACATTTGCGATCCGGATTGCCGAGACATTCGTTGTCCGAAATCCATGGAAACATGTACGTGGAGGTGTGCAAGAACTGTCGACCGAATAGTGTTTACTGGCGCCAGTTCGACACCACGGAGATGACCGCCCGCTACTGCCACAAAACCCACCGCT